GAATGCAAACGTTTCATCCCCAAAGCTTTATTTCTTTCGGCTGGAGACAATGCTGAATTATTTGAGTAGAAAAAAAAAGTTTCACATTTAAATGGACAGTAATGTAGTGTTTTTAGTGCAAAAACTGCGATAGAAGTGGCTGGCTACAAATGGTTTGATTAAAATACACATGCTATAAAAAGAAAGCAGTGATTCTCTTTCTCTTTGGTCCCACTTGGGGCATCCCGAGGCTTCACGGCTAATGACTGACTCATGCCTGGGAGCCAGGAGGGCGCAGAATGAGGGAGGCAGCCTGAGCCCGGGCTCCCGTTCCTGCTCCTGACACTGTTTTGCTTTAGGTCGAGTCCTCTTTACTCTCTCATCTTCTGTTTACTAAAGTTCCCCATAAAGATGCTGATGTGCGCTGTAACCTGCAGCAGGGTTGGAACATGAAATATGCTATGTTAGAGATGATAGGCATAGTATTTATGCTTTAGCATGTCTTGTATACCACCTGGACTCTGTTCCATCACTTTAGGATTTGGGAGGCAGAGGAAATGATTAAGCTGTCCAGCACGTAGGTTAGCTTTCAGGCTTGTGCTGAAGTAGGGTGTGAGTAGCAAACACAGTTATTGGTTTGTCTGAAGCTTCCCGAAGGAAAGTGTCTGCTTCCATGTTCTGCGAAGTGTGGTGTATTTATATTACTTACAGCAGAGTTAAACAGCATCTGGGGGTTTTGGGGATTGTTTTTTAATATGATATTTTCTCTAGAGTAACACAGTTTGGAGTCTATGTGACCAGGAAAGCATGGGGATTTATTTTTGTAGTGATCTTGCATATAGGATGACCTGACTGGAACAGAGTTTATGGAGTAAGTCTTTGAGCTCTGGGCAGGTTTGCTATTTAATCTCTCCATACAGAGTCACTGTGATAGAGCTTTGTGTCTTAGATCTTGTTTTTTTTTTTTCCAGAAAAAATCTGACTTGGTATATCACAGTGATAGGCCTGTGAAATCCAGTGTACAATTTCTTTTATGAAGTATCTTTTTGCACAAGTTACCGGACTTATGAGTCATGTTGAAATAAGGAGCCCCTCAAACTTAAGCAGAAATGATCTCTGCAAAATGAAAAATATAAGAAATAAAGTGTGTGGTATAGGGCTCATGAGAAACTGAGATGTTTAGAAAAAAATAAGATAGATTTTTCATATTGGTTGTTTCTGTAACAGATTTTTTTTTTTAATTTCCTTGAAGTAATTTAACATAACTAATGCTTTTTGGAAGATTTATTTCGTACATATTTAATATTACATGTTTAAGGCCAAATTATAATAGCTTAAATATGTCAGTGCTTGAAAGATCTCCAAATGTCAGGAGCTATAGATATAGCATTAATATGCCTAAAATCACATCAGTTTATTACTACTTAAAATATATTGTTTCCTGTATATGATTTGATACACATACACAAATTCTCGGATATGACGCATGGTTTTTCAGGGGTGGAGTTGTCATGCCTTTGAAGTACAGATCTTTTGACTATCATATTATTTATTTAAAGGAGGTGATGTATGTTCACTCCCTATATTTGACATAGGTTTGGAACAATATTGATATAGTAGATATTTGAACGTAGTGTTGTATTTTGGAACCCTATCCAACAGGTAGGAGGCAGTATTTGTTAGGTGGTGCTTAATTTTATTTATGAATATTTGATAGCCTAGAGTTCTTTGAATATCACTAGGGTTTAACTGTCGTGACTTCAGTCCCGATGTAAACTATGCTCTCCTTTCAGGAAACGTACCTTGCTGCTCAATAACATCTTTGCAGTTGTGGCCGCGCTGCTGATGTCCCTCTCTCTGTTGGCGGGCTCCTTTGAAATGCTTATTCTGGGTCGCATTATAATGGGTGTTGATGCAGGTAAGCTCTTCTCGTGATGTACCTGTGTGTGACGTGTGCTGTGCGCAATCTTCCTGCCGTCCCCTTCCTGTTCATGAAGCATGTCAAGGACTAACCACGCTGATTATTGCAGGGACAAGGCAGCAGAGCAAGGATCAGAGGATCTGACTTGCAGTGAAGATGGGCACTAGCTGCAATGGTCCATCCTGTTTGTTCCTTCCATTTCCTCCCACTGCTCCCAGAATATGTGAACCACTGGGACTTCATGCAGCGGGAATCCTTTGGTTAGAAGTGTGTAGTCTACTGGTTAAAACTGTTGCATTTAGGAGTTATTTGATCCCAAGCCAATACCAGCAGGATTGACTTGAAGGCATTAGAAGACTGACATTCCCTTCTAGCAACATCATCTTCCCAATTATGGAATTGTTATTGCTCCCTGCATCGAGCAGAGTGCTCTGAAATACTCAGTAAATCCACTGATTGCTGCATGGTGAGAAATATTTACCTAATGTGGCGCAGACTTCTAGATGAATTAAGAAGATTTTAGCCTCTCAGTATAATTCTGTGAATGTAAAGCATGGGACATGCCTCGACCTCTGCATCACTAAGCTCAGCCTGTGTCACAGCTAGGCACAGTCTGTGCTCCCTGGGATTGTCTTTCCCAAACAGTGTGCAGCCTCTGGGCAGTTCTGGTGTTGGCTGCAAACTCTCATCTTGGATTACCCCCGAGCTGCCCAGAGTTTGGATCTCTGTAGATACTGTCAGTGTGCTGAGCAGGGTCAGGCTTTTTATGCCTTCTGGTTTGGAGCAGCAGTATCCTCCTTGTTTTATGCCTGCTGTTAAAAGTTCATTGTGGCTCTTAGCCTGTATTGAGAAGAACATCTGCTAATACTCCACACAGCAATAATGCTTTCTTTGATACTGTGTGTGTTTGACTCATTGCTAAATGTCTTTTTTTCCCTCTTACTTGTACCATGTTAACTTGATTTTGCTTATTTTGACATAAACAAATTTAAAAGGTAAGATCCAGTCTCCTGGTGATTCTGAGTAACCTTTGCTGCTTCTTTTCAAATAGCAGTCTACACACACCTCGACAGAACTGCAGGACAGATAATCAGCTTGATGGTTATTAAATGGTGCAAGAGTAGTTAGGCATGCAGAGAAAATAATTCTTGTTATCTGTGGATAGACTTTGTTCTATTCTTTGTAGCTCCTCAGCAACAGACTCAGCTTCTCTCAACAGACATATTAAAAAGGCCGTTAGACTCCATTTATTTTCTTTTTTCCTTCCTTCACAGGCATCTCTCTGAGTGCCCTTCCCATGTATCTGAGTGAAATATCTCCCAAGGAAATCCGTGGTTCATTGGGTCAAGTCACAGCAATTTTCATTTGTATTGGTGTTTTCACTGGGCAAGTGTTGGGGCTGCCGGAAATATTTGGGAGAGTAAGTATTTAAGGCAATTTTTTTTCCTGCTGTGAAAGAATACAAACGTATATTTTGAATGAGTTCTTTACAAAAAAGGGACCATTATGTTTTGTTTGGAAGCACTTTGAAAAGAGCTTTCTTGTAGGCTTCTAAAAATACGTGTGTGTATGTGAGTGAGGGGTAAATGTGGCAAGCAGTTTTACCAGCTTGAGTGGCTTCTCTGTGCATATGGGTGTTTTCCCACCCTGCCCCCATTTCTTGATGTACTTTTCTTTTATGATTTGCGCTGCTTTCCGGTTTCTTTGGGTACCACAAAAGCACCTAGAGTTTTTGCATAATTCATTTATAATTCTTTGAAGGGAGCTTCAGAAAGCGTAGAATTTTTACAAGAACTTAATTACAAAGACTCTTGCCCAATGATTACAGTGCTGTTTGTGATCTAGCCACTCTAATAGGCCAGTGAGTAAAAGAACAGGCAAGTATGGAAAGAGGCAAATCTCTCATGAATGAGGTTATGCTGCTGTCCTAGGCTGAAATTAACTCGGTGACCACTGGATGTCATCATTACTCTGAATAAATGGATCTCTGGTTTATTCACGCTGGACTTCGAAACACTTTTCATCTGGAGGCAAATCTTTGAAACAAACATAGCCACCCTGCTTCAGGGAAATCCAAACCTCTTTCCAGCAGCTGATCCAAGTGGTAAAGAGCCCAGAAGTGAGAGGCACTTGTCCTCCCATGGTTGTCCACATCCAGCAGCTTTGGAGAGGAGTGACTCCAGTTGCCCGGGTGCTTTTAGTTTTGTCTGACCAGCTCTCCTATTCTGTCCCTTTACCCTTGTTGTCACTTACCAGCTTTAGCTCTTTAAAGGTTTGATTCAGCTGACCCTTTTGTTAAAGGGCAGATATTCTGCCCTCCAGGCCCCTACTCCCAATTAAAACATCTTTCACTGTCTTTCAATGTGTATTTGAGCCATGTCTTTCTTGAGAGGCTAATCTGTTCTAAACAAGGGTATTAGATGTCAGGAGGCTGATCCAACTGCTTGGAATACTTAGCAACACTAAGGTAGTACACTGTGATTTATGGATTGAGTGATTGCTTTTTAAGCGCGCATGCACCTCCATGTGTGAATGGGAGAGGCTTATTCGTTGGTTCCAGCTCACTATGGTTTAAATTGATCGTTTTATTTGTGGTCTCCTCTTCATCTCTCTCCATTTTTGTCATTCTCCCTTATGGAAGTTGTGATGCTGCTTTAATAGGCAGCTAATTTATATTAGACTATGAAAGATAACTGTTGATTCATGTAAAATGCGATACCATTTTTCTGTGTGTGTGTTTTTTTTTTCTTCTTCTCCCAAGATCTGAGAGCGATGTAAATGTGCAAAAGTGGCAAAGTTTTGGCTGTTGTAAACTGGCATTTTTCCAGCAAAATCAATGGAGCTGTCTTGATTTTTCCAGTTGGCTTCCTGCATGTATTTTCCTTTTTGTATATTAATAGCATTTAGCACTGAGTGGGTGTTTGTACAAGGAACAGAAGTCCCTGCCAGGGGGAACTGCTGCAGAGAGTTTGTGTTTCAGTGTGATGGCTTCACGTCTGCTGATGCAGGGAAGTGTTCAACATGATGGTGTCTCCTTTTTGAGTTCTTCAGCTCTTGCAAACGTGCCTTCCTCTTTCCATTCGCTTTAACCTAGCACACATCTTGCACACAATTCTGTCAATTTGATCCAGTTCAAAAGTAGGTTCGAGGCATTTGCAGGATATTTGCTACATGTTCGCTTCTCCTTGATTCATAGGTTGAGTCTTTTATTCACTAGTGATGTAAAGCTGCATATCAAATTGTTGCCAGATTGCTCTATTTGCCGTTTTCTCATGTTGGAGAAAACTTTGTTACATTTGAAGTCGACAGGGTTATGGCTCTACAGCCACCATATTTTGGAGAAAACTAAGCATCCATTATATCTTATCAAAGATTTTTAATTGGAAACGGAGAGAAATACGTATTTATAAAATGCAATTTAACTCTAATAAGATTGAAAAGGAAAGCTTCTTTATTGTGGCTTCAAATCTCATAGAGGCATTTTTTGGTTGTTTTGTGGCTGGTTGATTGCTTCTTTCAGAGCTGTCTGGAAGTAATACTGATTACAAGTATTTGTCTTCTGTCCAGGTTTCATAACAATCTTCTGGGTTCCCTCAGGCATTTCTTACTTAATAACTTCTTAGATATTTGTTAAAGTTATAATCATAATATCTAAGCAATGATATTTTTGAGGAGTAGAGGAATAGAGGGACAGTGACCTGCTTTTTATTTAGTTGTTTTTGTTGTTGTTGTTGTTTGTTTCTTAATAGAGTAATATATAAGATTTATTTCCTCACTGTCCTGGAAATATTTTGGAGGAAGTGGGAATACTTCTTTATTTTTTTCCTACATCTCACCTTGTTGACATGAACTGGCCAAATGCTTCTTCCTCCAATTTTGAAATCGTAGTCTAAGCAACCAGGTGCACACACACAAAAAATCCATTAATGATTGTAAAAAAAATTAAATACAGAAACTCTTTTGGATTCTGAATATGTAGACTTTTATTCTATTTGTCTTCAAAGCTACTAATTTTAGAGTACCGAGCCTGTAGAAAGCATTCCTTTAGCAGGCTGGTTATTCCAAAGGCACAAAGCCGTAGTCACAACATTGTCCCATCTTGCTATGCTTTAATTTTTATTATTATTATTATTGTTCCCTTTCCTATACTCTTCCACCCAAATTTCAAGCAAGCAGTACTTTTATTTATAGCTCTGGTTCTGTTATATGACAAAATGCTCTCTCTGCCTCTCTCTGAAAGCTTGGGAAATTGCCCTGTGGTAAAAGGGGGCTAGTGATCAGAATACTGAAGGCACATAGGGTTGTATAGCACACTCAGCTGCTTGTATAGGCAGCTGAAGGAGAAAACAAATATTGAAGATCAGACAAAAAGACCCGACAGTTCTTGGAACACTCCGAAGGATGATGTTTTTTATCAATTTCTGGGATTCTGCAATTAAATTCTCCCAGTCTGTTTTCTTGACAGATCGCTCCCAGCAGAGCTTTGCCGGTGCATTGATAGCTTTGGGTTTGAAAGTTCAAGTTTACTTCAGTTCTCTTGGCAGTTATCTTCTATCATGGCCTTATCTTGCATATAGCAGATATCAGATCTTCAGGTATCTTCATAACCTCATTTCTCTAACTCATGTAGTTTGTCCTGCAGATAAGCCTGGATTCCACCCTGAAGGTCTTCCTTAGTGTGTTAACATATTTTACATGTTATAGACTACTATGCTGTCTGTTTCCATTGCTTCAGCTTTTTTAATGAGCGTGAGTGCTATTCTTTCTTTTAATCACAAAGGATTTATGAGTATGTCTTCACAAGTCTTCCTGTATTCTCTTTAAATATGTTATGATTTCTCTTTCATACACATGCAGATATGAGAGAGCAAGGAAGACGTTTCACTGTGAATGTATAGAGGATAGATAAGTGTTTTTGTTTTCCTTAATTAAACTCCAAGAACCTGTATAGACCCCCATCCAACTCTATTTTCTTTTTAAGCCTTGAAAATGATGTATTTGAAGGGATAGATAGTTGTGTGTTTAAGAAAGTTTGCATAGGAATCTTTCATGTTCCTTCAATTACTTTACAAGTTCCATAGAAGCACACCTTCGCGTGCACAAAAATAGACAGTGATGAAATAGCTAGGGTTGAAGTCTGCATCGTTGTAGGCTGTTCTGAAAACTAAGCTTTGATTTTGCTTGTCAAAGCTTCATTTCTGAGGTGTGAATGTGTCTTTTTTTTTTTTCCTGATCCTCCCTAGGCTTCTAGATTAAAATTTAAGGTTTCCTGAAAAACTAATGGGAAAATGATGGAATAATATAGAAGAGAAGAGCAAGCCATGCTAAATTGCTCCAGGAAACCACAGTCTGCAGAGGGACACCAGTAACAAAAATGGCCAATTCGTGATGTTAGAATAAATCTCACATGTTAGTGTTATAACACAGAGTGAATCGATCAACCTTCCTTATATTTTACTGTGAGCTCCTCTGTTCTATACATTTATCTTTCTCTTGAGCCTTGACTCTTTACAGTTGTTTGTCTTACAAGCTATGGTTGAGAATTTATTCCAGAGTATAGAGCTGAGAGCCCTTGTAGCAGTACGAGATAGAAGAGAACTTATAGAGGTGTCTTGCAACCACATGAAACAGCTTTATGCTTTCTAGATGCATGCTGTTTACAGAATATAAAACAAACAAACAAACAAAAACCCCAAAAAACAGAAACTGAAGCATTTTATTTCTTACTTAGAGTAGGACAACAAAATCATGCAATAGTTTGTCATCTTCCAGAGTTGCTTTAATTCTCCAAAATGTTACTCTCTCTGATGTAATTCCTCTGGTTGCATGGAATAGAAATCTGTTAACACCGCTGTTCTCTGTAGTTCTATTCTAGAAATACTGAGTGCACACAGAATGTATGACAGACTGTTATGTATAAATTTCTATCTCAGTCTACTGTATTGAACTTTTAAAAAGAGAATTACTAAGGTAATTAAACCTAAACTCAAATAATTGGGTATGTGGTTTAGTTTAAGTGCATGGGTAGCCCTGCTAATTGCAGTGGGACTGTTTAGGTACTTAGAAACACGTAGTACTTGGAGCATTAGTGACTCCGTTGTAGAATATTAATTGTTAGTTCTTAACGAGATATGGAGAGCAAAATCCAATATAGAACATAGAAATAATAAAATAGCAATGAGGCTCATCAGTTTAGGTCCCAAAACTTTTATCATTAATGGCTGAGAAGGCATTTTCTAGTTCTCCTACAAACACTCTGTTGTGGTGACAAACTTACAAAAGAGAGTTCAAGTTACTCTGGCCTCTGCGTTCCCCTAGGCTGCAGACCTGGTACAGAGGGTTTTTTTTAGAAGCACGGGGCAAAACCTCTGTGTATTCTTGTAATAAAATGCAGAACTGACTTAAAAGGTAGAGTCTTTC